ACTGAGCCATCTCCCCAGCCCCCAAAACATGACACTCATAAAGTTTATATACTTATAATAAGAGTATAGGTGCCTATATATTTGAAGTTATCGACATGCATATATAAGTGTAATGTGAAATAGACTACATTAGACAGTTCAACAAACAGACCAATCTTCACTAAAACAATCATCAGAGAATTCACTGAAAGTTTTATAAGCCAGGATTACAAAAGAAAAAGAGGTAATTACAACTAGAGGTATTTTCAACCAGAGGTAATTACATGATGGCACAGAGATTAAAGAGGTGTGGTTAAATCAGGGTTTCTCAACTTGCCAATGCTCATCATTTGGGGCCTGGTAATTCTTTGTGGCGGGGGGTGGGGTGAGGGGGGGTCTTGCCGGCCATTGTAGGACACTTGGCAGTATCCTGACATCATATAGGAGGTGCCAGTAATGGCCCTTGCTTTGTGATTATGAAAAATGCTTCCAGACATTACTAGATGTCTCTTGGCGATAAGGAAAGGTACTGTCCTAAGGCAACAGTTCAGGAATTGATCAACTATAAAGAGTTTATTACTTGCTATAATTCGTTATTCAAAGAATACCTTGTCAAGTTTTTCTTTGCAGGAAGTAACTAAGAAAGTCACACAGCCATAGCATAGTTCTGTGCAACAAAATCAGTGTTTCTACAACTTATTAAAAAATGTATTTAGTACAGGTTCCACAGGGTCTCACTACAGATCAGACTCATAGTGACCCTCCTGTTTTCAGCCTCCCAAGCTCTGGGATTACAGGCATGTGCCACCTTGCCCAGTCTCATTCACCTTCTCTCTCTCTTTTTTTTTTTTTTTGGTGGAACCGGGGATTGAACTCAGGTCCTTGCGCTTGCCAGGGAAGCACTTATTCCACTGAGCCATCTCCCCAGCCCCTCATTCACCTTCTCAGTGCACCCTAGGGGTGGGGGCGGCACGCACACTGGGCATCAAACCCCATTCTTGCACCTTCCTAAACAGGTGCTTTAGTCCACTGAGCTATCTGGCCAGCCCCTTACGATTCTTTTGAGGGGACTATTTTTATTTTATAAAAACCTGTGCTTTCAAGCGTTACATAAAAAACAACAACAAACAGGATATTAGCAATTTTACCTTGTCTTGCAGTATATTCATTGTCTTCAATTAATCTTGCTAAACCAAAATCTGCTATTTTGCACACAAGATTTTCTCCTACAAGAATATTAGCAGCCCGAAGATCTCGGTGGATGTAGTTCATTCTTTCAATATACGCCATACCATCAGCAATCTTGGAAAGCAAAACAAGATGTTAAAAAGAAGTAGGGAGGTGGCCGGGGAGATGGCTCAATAGAATAAGCGCTTCCCTGGCAAGCACAAGGGCATGAGTTCAATCCCCGGTTCCGCCAAAAAAAAAAAGAAAAAAAAAAGAAAAAAAAAGAAGTAGGGAGGCTGGGGATACAGCTCAGCGGCATAAGCACCTGCCTGGCAAGTGCAAGGTCCTGAGTTCGATCCCGGGGGGGGGGGGAGTAGGGAAAAACCATCAGATCTTTCAAAAGGTGACAGCAACAAGCAAAGCCTACGAGGTAACACTAATAAAGAAGCAGGCTATGTTCAACCAAAAATCTGACATACCTCCAGTATCATATACAAACACCTGTGGACACATACTTTGAGGGCCAAGCTTTTCAGCCTACTGTATGTCCAGTTACTGTTAGCAATGTAATGTAATATCCCAATGTCCTCTTGCTTCAGTGGGTAGAGGAAGAGCTAAGTCACATGGTTATTTCGAACCCCTGGACACAATCAGGAATAATCTAGGATGACCTGGTGATAAGCACACTGGCCACATGTGGGAGACGGTGAACTAGAGGTCGGAGAAACGACTGAGTTCTATAGCTAGGTCCAATCCTGGCTCTGCTACTGCAAGATTGGTGAATTCTTGGTATTTCTGATCTTTAGATACTATATTATCATACTGGATTACTTCTAATGTTCCTTCCTGTTCTAAAATTTATTTCACTATATAATATATACCCTGCTAAGATTTTATGTTATTTTTAATTTTATTTTTGGTATTGGGACCACTCAGCTATATCCCCAGTCCAATTAGTCCACATTTTTTTATT